AAATCTCCCCTTCCCTTTTTATAATTCACACTCTGGTGTTTGAAATTCATCCCAAACTACATGTAGGATGCATGGCAATAATGTAAGCATTTAAAATTTTGTATCTGTGAGACCAAAATTCAAATTATTTTAGACACTTTTCAATAAACCTTAGGCAAATTATATTAACTGTTGAAAATGAAAAGCCATCAAAACCATCAAACACTGTTGCATTTGATAGGCCTAACAAAGCTTTGTTAAACTCTGTAGGACATAGGTAGTTTGACCATTAAAATAATCTAACCTTAAATACCAGGACTACAAGCATAAACTGAGACTGTGCAGGCAAACTATGACATACAGTCAACCTTAGTTTTGGAACCCTAAAAGCTGTCAACTGGAGGAGAATAAATACTTCTTACTTTGAAGAAAACTAACTCAAAGCCTGGAAATTGACTCCTGTGAAAGACAGTGATCTTTTAATGTCAAACTGCTATAGAAAGATTTTTATTTTCATTTTTATTCTGAAATAAAATTGTGGGAAAATAACTTTGGAATAAATGTGAATAAAAGGCAACCTTCAAACCATCTTGTTCTTTGCTTTGGCTGACCAAATCTTTCTTGTTCTGGGAACTGTTATGACTGTTATGACCTTGAATAACTCTTACATTAAGTATTTTAAGTGTTACTTAATTCTGTGTCTATTTTAAAGCCCAGAAGATAAAGATGTGTTATCTGCAACATCAATTTCATATCTGTTTTTCCCTTAATTAATGAATAACTATAATTGCTTATCTAATATTCTTATAGAGTATCAAAATGATTCTTTTAATTATAAATAAAAATGTTCTTCATATAATCTAATGCCAGATGTTTTGTAATTCCAAAGCTCAGAGAAGAAAACAGCTAGCCCTGCTATTTCAGATCTTTCACAGATCCTCAAGTCTCAAGATGGATCCGATTTTTTAAAGAGTTCAAATGAACTTTTAGATGATGAAGACCTAACCCATATATCTCCACTGACCCAGGATAGATCACTTACAAGAATATTACCAAGCAAAGACACTCAAGACTCACTGTCTGTAGAAACATTGCTTCAAGGCAATGAAATAGCGACCACATGATTCACTTTATCCCGTTAGTAAAAGAAAGCCAATGGGTAGTGAAATCTCAAAGGTAAGACAGTAATAACTGTAAAACTATATACTTTAAATAGCAATCTCTATCAATGTTAGAGACAACAATATTTTCTTACTTAAAGGGAATAAAGCCTTTGCCTTTTTAAAAAAATAATTAATTAATTAATTTTAATTTTTTTTAAGAACATTATGTTTACTAGGCTCTCCCCTACCCCAAGTCCCCCCACAAACCCCATTACAATCACTGTCCATCAGCATAGTAAGATGTAGAATCACTACTTGTCTTCTCTATGTTGCAAAGCCCTCCCCTTTCCACCACCCCGCACATTATACATGCGAATCACAATACCTCCTTTCTTCTTCCCACCCTTATCCCTCCCTACCCTCCCATTCTCCCCAGTCTCTTTCCCTTTGGTAACTGTTAGTCCATTCTTGGGTTCTGTGATTCTGCTGCTGTTTTGTTCCTTCAGATTTTGTTTGTTGTTATATTCCACAAATGAGAGAAATCATTTGGTATTTGTCTTTCTCCATCTGGTTTATTTCACTGAGCATAATACCCTCTAGCTCCATCCATGTTGTTGCAAATGGTAGGACTTGTTTTCTTCTTATGGATGAATAATATTCCATTGTGTATATGTACCACCTCTTCTTTATCCATTCATCTACTGATGGACACTTAGGTTGCTTCCATTTCTTGGCTATTGTAAATAGTGCTGCGATAAACATAGGGGTGCATTTGTCTTTATGAATTCTTAACATAATATTATACCAAAAATTCAGCAGGGTATAGCAGGAGAAAAGGTGATTTTTGGTATAAATAATTAATATTTTAGCTAGATTCTTTAGGTTTTTAATGTATATTTTAAAACACTGATGTTTGTTCTGCTTTCCAACATACATAGATTTTGTAACCAACCCCTATCTTATTTCATTAGCCTAAATTTCCAAAATGAAATTAAAGGTAAGTGGTTGTGCTTTAGAGTGCAGGAGCATCACTCTTGAACTGTGCTTTGAGATGAAAGTGCCTCTGCTGTTCCACCTGTGATAACTGGTTATTTGAAAGAAATACTCCTTATATGGTCAGGGCATTTTATCTTATTCAAAATTTATTGTACATTTTTAATCAGAGTTGAACTGATTTTAATCAATCTGTGAAACATTTTATTGTGGTAAAATATACATAAAATTGGCCATTTTAACAATCTTTAATAGTACAGTTCAGTGACATTAATTACTTTCACAATGTTGTATAATTATCAATACATCTATTTCTACAATTTTTCATTACCTCCAAAAGAAAACTCACTAAGCAATAACTCCCATTCCACCTTCATCCAGTACCCAGTAACATCTAATTTATTTTCTGTTTCTATAAACTTGCCTATTTCATATAAGCAGAATCATACAACATTTGTCCTTTTTTGTCTGGCCTGTTAGACTTAGCTTAATGTTTTCAGGGTGCATTCATTTTTGTAGCAAGTGTTAGAATTTTATTCCTTTTTATGGTGGAATAATATTTCATTGCATATTATATCACATTTTGTTTACCTATTCATCTGCTGATGGACATTTGGGTTGTTTCCATCTTTCTGGCTACTGTGAATAATGCTACAATGAACATGGTGTATAGTGTCTGTTTAAATCTCTATTTTCAATTGTTTTGGGTAGGAATGTAATTGCTGAATCATATAACAATTTAAGTTTGAACTGCTCTACTGTTTTCCCTATGGCTCCCCCATTTTATACTCCTACCAGCAATGTAGAAGGGTACACATTCTTGCCGACACTTGTTTTCCTTTTTATTTAAATTACAGTCATTCTAGTAAGTATGAGGTCTATCTCATTGTGATTTTGATTTGCATTTCCTGTATGAAGATATTAAGCATCATTTTGCATGCTTATTGGTCATTTGTGTCTTCTTTGGAATAAATGTCTATTCAACACCCATTTTTTGTTCTTCTTTTTTATGAAGGTATCATTGATATACAATCTTATGATGGTTTCACATGAGCAACATTGTGGTTATTACATTCACCCATATTATTGAGTTCTCCTCACCCCATTGCAGTCACTGTCCATCAGCGTAGTAAGATGCTATAGAGTCACTCTTTGTCTTCTCTGTGCTTTACTGCCTTCCCCGTGAGCCCCCTCCATGATGTGTGCTAATCATAATGTCCCTTAATCCCCTTTTCCCTCCCTCCCCACCTGCCCTCCCCTTCCCTCGCCCTTGGTAACTGCTAGTCCCTTCTTGGAGTATGAGGCTGTTGCTGTTTTGTTTCTTCAGTTTTACTTTGTTGTTATACTCTGCAACTGAGGGGAATCTTTTGTTACTTGTCTTTCTCCACCTGGCTTATTTAACTGAGCATACTACCTTCTAGCTCCATCCATGTTGTTGCAAATGGTAGGATTTGTTTTCTTCTTATGGCTGAGTAATATTCCATTTTGTATATGTATCACCTCTTCTTTATCCATTCATTTACTGATGGACACTTAGGTTGCTTCCATGTCTTGGCTATTGTAAATAGTGCTGCATTAAACATGGGGGTGCATATGTCTTTTTGAATCAGGGATCTTGTTTTCTTAGGGTGAATTCCTAGGAGTGGAATTCCTGGGTCAAACGGTATTTCTATTTTTAGTTTTTTGAGGAACCTCCGTATTGCTTTCCATAATAGTTGAACTAATTTACATTCCCACCAGCAGTGTAGGAGGGTTCCCCTTTCTCCGCATCCTTGCCAGCATTTGTAGTTTCTTGTCTTTAGGATGTTGGCCATCTTAACTGGTGTGAGGTGATATCTCACTGTGGTTTTAATTTGCATTTCCCTGATAATTAGCAATGTGGAGCATCTTTCCATGTGCCTGTTGGCAATCCAAATTTCTTCTTTGGAAAAGTGTCTGTTCAGATCCTCCACCCATTTTTTAATTGGGTTATTTGCTTTTTGGGTGAACACCCATTTTTAATTGGGCTATTTGTCTTTTTGCTGCCAAGTTTCAGAGGTTCTTTATATATTCTGGATATTAAGCCTTTATCAGATACATGGTTTACAAATATTTTTTTGCATTCCATAGGTTGTCTTTTCATTTTCTTCATAATGTCTTTTGATGAATAAACGTTTAATTTTATGAAGCCCAATTTATCTTTTGTTGTTTTTACTTTTGGTATCATATCTGAGAATCCATTGCCAAATCCAAGTTAATGGATATCCTTATATTTTCTTCTGAGCTTTATGGTTTTAGCTCTTATATTTAGGTCATTGATCCATTCTGAGTAAATTTTTGTTTACAACATGAGGTAGGGATACAACTTCATTCCTTTGCCTATGGAAATTTTTTTTCCTACTGAATTGTATTGCACCTTGGTAAAAAATCAGTTGCATATATATGGCTTTATTTCTGTACTCTCAATTATATACCATTGGTATTTATGTCTATTCATATGTCAGTATCACATTGTTTTGATTTACTATAACTTTGTAGTAAGTTTTGAAATGGGGAAGTGTGAGTTCTCAAGCTTTCTTCTTTCAACATTGTTTTGGTTATTTGGGATCTCTTGCAATTAAATATGGATTTTAGGGTCAATTTTTTACATTTTTCAAATAGGCCTTTGGAATTTTGTTAGGGAATACACTGAATCTCTAGAGTGCCTTGGGAAGTACTGACATCTTAACAATATTAAGTCTTCTTATTCATGAACCTGGGAGACCTTTTCATTTATTCAGGTTTTATTTAGTTTATTTTAGCAATGTTATGTAGTTTTCCATGTACAGTTCTTGTAACTCCTTGGCTAATATTTTTCCTAAGTATTTTCTGCTTTTTGCTACTATTGTAAATGGAAGTGTTTTTTTTTTTGTTTTTTTTTTTTAAGTGTCATTTTTTTTTTCAGGAAAACAGATACTCATTTTTGTCAAACACTGATAATGATTTGGACCCAGTAGCTCTAATTTTCATATGATTCCATGAGCCTCTTCTTCAAAGTATGCTATGTGGGCTTCACCTAGAGAACATTTGACTACATCTACTTCTCCACCTCCATTCTTCTCCCGTTGAAAGTGAATGTTAAGTAAATCCTGTACAATCTCTTCATCCATCATCTGAAGGTCTTCCATTCCAGTCAGAAGCACTGTCCTCTCAGATATTCCTGAAAATACCTGAAAATTTCTCAAGTGCGTTTCTATGTATGGAGAAACAGTGACTCTATGGCAGTGTTGATTTATATAAAGAGGGTAGTCTTTCTTTTTCAAAATCTTGTCAGCAACTCCCATTTCCACAAATGTGATGACGGCGCTCCGGGACTGCTTGTCATACTCCACACACTCCACTTGTCCGCCTCCGTTTCGGGACTTAGTGAAGCTCAGTTCTAGCTTGTCTCTCATCTGATTTTCAGGCAACTCATCAGGAATTTCAGTAACATTGATCTTCATTTTAGACACGTCTACGGGAACCTGGAATCTGACTCCAGAGTTTAATGGAACGGGGTTGGCCATCACCTCCACCTCTAAGTCCTCTATCTGCACATGATGTTTCCCCATCCTGATCACATTTTGGGCAACTTCTTCTTTTTCAAATGTGATAAGCGCTTGTCCTCTTCGTAGCTCATAAAAAACTTGGGAACTCACTGGAAATAAACAAGAGGTGTTAAAAAACTGGCTGTCCTTCTCAGGATTCTCTGAGGATGTGAATTTCATATGTATTGCGGGAATATCCACTTTAATCTGCAAGTTTCTGGCGGCCTCTTTTAACTCAGCTTCAAGCTTTTGGATTTCCTCCTTTAACTGAGTATTTTCCTTTACAATTTTATGAATTAATCTCTCTTTTTGTTCATCTTTGGAAAATTTTTCATCTCCATGCTCCTTAAGAACTTGTGTCTTGTTACCTCCATCAGCTGCCATGATTCCCTTGATAGACCAAGGTGGACTGCTCAACACAGAGTTCTCAAGGCCCACTGAGTTGAGGAGGTTCTCACTGGCCAAATCATTCTAAGTTTCGATTTCCGAAATGAAACAGCGCGCTTTAGAGACTGGTCAGGGGCCCGGGCTGCGCGGAGAGGCCGTCGGGGCCCAGGGGCGGGCCGCCCCCGCGGCGGCTGACAGCGTCGCTGGAGCCCCAGGCCGCGGGCGCCGCAGGGTCGCGGTGGGAGCGGACGGGACGGGAGGGGGCCGCCGCTGCGCGCTCTCAGCCTCGCGCCACGCCTCGCGGTTCCCGGCCCCGCGGACCCGTCGCCCGTCCCACCCGGGCCTCGCTCCCCGGGGCGACCAGCCGCAGGGACTGTAAATGGAAGTTTTATTCTTAATTTCATTTTCAAACTATTCACTGCTGGTGTTGAGAAATGCACCTGATTTTGCCTGCCAAGTTTGTATCCTGAATTTTTGCTGAATTTGTTAACTTCAATATTTCTGTGTGGAATCTGGGATTTTCTATATATAAGACCATGTCATCTGTGAATAGAGATAGTTTTACTTCTTCCTTTACAATTAGGATTCCTTTTATTTAATTATTTATTTTCTAATTGCATTAGCTAGAACTTTTAATACAGTGTTGAATAGCAGTGGTAAAAATGGGCATCTTAGTCTTGTTCCTGATCCGAGGGGGAAAGCTTTAATTTTTTCATTGAGTATCCTGTTAGTTGTAGGTTTTCATTAATGACATCACATTGAGAAAGTTCCTTTCTATTCATAGTGTTCTGAGAGTTTTTTTTTTAAATGATGAAAGGGTGTCAGATTTTGTCAGATGCATTTTTTGCATCATTCGACATGGTCGTGTGGTTTTCCCCTTCGCTCTATTAATGTGGCATATTGCATTGATTGATTTTCTTAGGTTGAAGCACATTCGCATTCCTAAGATGAATCCCATTTGATTTTTGTACATAGTCCATTAATATGTTGTTGAATTTATTTTTCTAGTATTTTACTGAGGATTTTTGCATCTGTGTTCATAAGGGATATTGGTCGCCCCCCTTTTTTAAATAATGTTTTTATCTGGCTTTGGTATTGGAGTAATGTTAGCCTCAGACATATTTTGGAAGATTTCCTTACTATTCTATTTTTTGGAAGGTTTTGAGAAGGATTAGTATTCTTTAAATGCTTGGAATTTTAAGTATTAAAATGTCCTGGACTTTTCATTGTTGGGAGGTTTTTGATTTCTGATTCATTTTCCTTATTAGTTATACGGCTATTCAGATTTTTTTTTCTTCATGATTCAGTCTTGGTAGGTTGCTGTTTCTAGGACTTTATCCATTTCATCGAGGTTATCCAATTTATTGGTGTACAGTTATTCCTAGTGTTCTCTTATACTCCTTTATATTTTGTAAAATTGATTGTAATATCCCCTTTCATTTCTTAGTTTAGCTAACCTAGTTAAATAACTGTCAATTTTGTTTATCTTTTCAGATATCTTACTCTTGATGTCATTGATTTTTCCCTATTGGATTTTCATTATCAAATCAAAGACTTTTCCTTTTTATTAACAATTCTCATTCAAATTGAGCTGGAGGGGATTGATACTACTAGTTATAATGTTTTTTTCTTTTGGTATCATTAATCTACAATTACATGAGCAACATTATGGTTACTAGACTCCTCCCATCATCAAGTCCGCACCACACACCCCATTACAGTCACTGTCCATCAGTGTAGTGAGATGCTATAGAATCACTACTTGTCTTATTTTTGTTGTATAGACCTCCCCATCCCTCCACCTATATTATGTCTGCTAATCTTAATGCCACTTTTTCCCCCTTGTCCCTCACTTCCCACCCATCCTACCCAGTCCCTTTCCCTTTGGTAACTGTTAGTCCATTTTGGGTTCTGTGAGTCTGCTGCTGTTTTTATCCTTCAGCTTTTTCTTTGTTCTTATACTCTGCAGATGAGTGAAATCATTTGATACTTGTCTTTTTCCACATGCCTTATTTCATTGAGGATAATATCCTCTAGCTCCATCCATGTTGTTGTAAATTGTGGGATTTGTTTTCTTCTCATGGTTGAATAATATTCCATTGTGTATATGTACCACATCTTCTTTATCCATTCATCTACTGATGGGCACTGAGGCTGCTTCCATGTCTTGGTCATTGTAAATAGTGCTGCAATAAGCATAGGGGTGCATATGTCTTAATCAAACTGGGCTGCTGCATTCTTAGGGTAAATTCCTAAGACTGGAATTCCTGGGTCAAATGGTATTTCTATTTTGAGTTTTTTGGGGAACCTCCATACTGCTTTCCTCAATGGTTGAACTAACTTACATTCCCACCAGCAGTGTAGGAGGGTTCCCCTTTCTCCACATCCTCACCAACATTTGTTGTTTGTTTTTTGGAATGTGGCCATCCTTACTGATGTGAGGTGATATCTCATTGTGGGTTTAATTTGCATTTCTCTGACGATTAGTGATGTGGAGCATCTTTTCATGTGCCTGTTGGCCATCCGAATTTCTTTGGAAAAATGTCTGTTCAGCTCCTCTGACCATTTTTTTTAAATTTGTATAACAACTCTATTCATAATTGCTAAAAACTGGAAACAATCCAGATGTCCTTCAACAGATGATTTAAACAAATGTGTTACATCCATGAAATTGAATACCTCTCAGCAATTAAACAGGACAAACTGTTGATTTATGCAACAATATGGATGCATCTTAAATGCATTTTGTTAGGTGAAATAAGAAAAATGCTTAGGATCCATATTTCATGATTCAATTTATATGACATTCTGGAATAAGGAAAAACCATGGGGCCAGAAAATAGATCAGCTGTTGACAGTGACTGGTAGAGGGGAGATTGATTTTTTTTAAAAGAGACCATAACTACATTTTAAGGTGAGGAAACTTTAAAAAATATGTATATCCACCATTGTTGTGACAGATATATGATTCTAAATATTTGTCAAAACACAGAACTATACACATCAAGGACTGAACTTTATGAAAACTGGAAAGCATATTTAGTGATTCTAGGATGAAATGTAGATTGTGGCAAATTAATGTGTTATTACAAATGTATAGCAGAATAAAACTTAAGGGGTAGATGGAGAACTAACCTAAGTAACTGAAAAATATTGATTTGCTAAATACATTGTAAGGCCAAAGAGAAAAACTGTACATAGATATTGTACTCTAGTTGGAAACTTTGTTTCTTATAAGCCTGTGGGAATATGGCTTAGCAATTCTTAAATTATTTTACATATATGCTAAGGTTGAGTAAATAACTAAAGTGTAACTAATGATGGCCAAGTTTTTCACTGCCAGAGTTAAAAGCTACAAATAAGCAAGGGAAAAGACTAGAATAAGCTCTGATCTGCTGAATCAGAGTTGGACATATTAAGTGTGTGTGTGTGTGTGTGTGTGTGTGTGTGTGTGTATACACAAATACATACACAGATATATCCCACAATATATGTGTCTGTACATGGGTTATACATACGTATGTGTAAATACATATATATTACTTTCTCCATAAAGGGATCCAGGACTCCCTGGAGATTCCAGATCTGAAGCAGTGAAAATACAGAAGTGCCTGGAGTATCTTGTAATGCCTGAAAGTTAGCAAGTTGAGGACAAAATGAGAAAAAAGAAATGGGATCCTGTCAGAAAGACACTGGAGCCAACCTTAACAAGCTGTTATAGGGCAAAGCAGAAATGATATGAGCAACAATAAAGATAGCATTTGTAAATAACCCAAAGTATGAAATAAATACTCACAGTTTATGTGGGTTGGATGTAGAATGGACAAAACTTTATACACTAACATCCTTTTTCTGTCGTAGGATCCAGTATGGGATACCATGGTGCCTTTAGTCATTGCATCTCCCTTAGTGTGACAGTTGTAGGGAGTAGAATGGACAAATCTTCCTTAGAGAATTCCTCAGAGCAGTGAAGGAACTAGAACACCACAATAACAATTGGGGCATGGAAAATCCACTGCTAAAATTAATGGATGAAATTTTAAGTAATTATTTTCCAATTATTTCTATATTATTCCCTCGAATTGCTAGTGTTTTTTTAAGATGATTATTTTGCTTCATAATTTTGGAAATTACAGTCATATTCTTTAAATGTTTATGGTGGAAAATATAAAAGTTCTTTAACCTAAAGTGTAAAACTGACAAATATTATCATCTTTCTCCATAAAAATATGAGGAATTTAGGACTTACTATCTCATATCACTGCATTCTCTATAGACATATGATCTAAGTATTGTAGTTAAATATATCAGATTTTATTGTGCATAGCATTGTCTTTGACTAGCCCAATATTTCTTTATATTACTGTAACTCCAGGGGCAAAAATATTTTCCCAGCTCGGGCAAAATACCTTTTAACCAAAATCAGTCAAAGAGAGAAGGTAAAGTGGAAGAAACCCATTTATTGCCTACAAGCAGTTGTTTACTTCTGCTCCTCTGTGTCTCTCATAACCTGGCTGCAGAAAAAACTCTCTGGTTCACATATACCCTTGCTCTCTTGGAATTACCTATTGATATGGACATGGACTACTTCTTTCCACCACCTGGAAACACCTATTGCTATGGAGATGCACTAAGGCCAGGCAAGAGATTCTAGAAATGTTGCA